TAGAAGAATGCCTTAAAAGTTAGGATTTATAACTGATGAACTGAGCTAATAAAGTTTCTAAAAGATATTTTAGTTAATTTAAATATATTAACTTTTAAGTTTATTTATTGACAGTAGAAAATAAAGATTATGCCTGACCTTTGTTTGAATCAGCAAACTTGCATACAGCAAAATCTAAAAACCTCATTAAAACCAGAGCCGGATTAAGGTGTCTACTGGGACTGCAATCTCAGACCCCGAATTTTTAGGACCCTCCCCTCCCAAGGATTCTGCAAAGTTTATGACGGTAAATTAATTTTTGTGATTTTCGAAAAATTTATTAGATATTTTCAAGTATGGTTTAATCAATCAATCAAATCAATACCTCTGGGGGTACTGGATTGGAGATAGATCGTTCTCTGATAGATCGTTCTCTTTGGATGAATGAATGGTCCGCCCTATAAACGGGTGTGACAGAAGTCGAAATCTTGGCCATAGATGGCGCCACTGGAAACCAGGAACAATTGCACCCCTCAACCTGTACGTCAACAAGTATGTTTTACTATGTTCCTTAATCATTAAAAATTTATAATTTTTTTCTTTATAAGTAGAAAATAAAAAGAAAAAAAAATTACATTTAATCCTTTCCTTTTACTCCTCCACTCAACTCTCAATTTTATCATTATTTTCTTTTGCTTCAAGTCAAATATGCTCGAAATTTCTAACTCATTTTCTATAACTGTTTCCAAAATATGTAAAATTTCCTGAGATATTTGTTTAAAAAACATAAAAAGTTTAGTAAAAACGAAGATTTCTAATTTGTGTCTTTCTATTTTTAGAGTTGCTTATTTTATAGTTACTACTACTACTTAACATTCATAATTTCGAATAGAACGTTCTTCCTGATATAGACGCTGAATCGTATTTTAATGTAATTATTTTTGTAAAAGACAAGTTTCAAAAGGGTTTTTTTTACCATAAATTTCTGTAAAACAAGCTTATCTGCAGGGATGAGATTAGCCAAAAGGCAAAAAAGCTGAATTTCCACGATAGTAAATTTTACCCAAGCGCAACCCTTTAATAATAAATTCCAGACAGTTTAAGGTAATAAATAATGTGTTGACATACAATTGTGTACTAATCTATTATTATATAAATGATTACATTGATACTTAACATTTAGTGAAAATAAAAATTACCAATTGAAAAAATAAAGCTGGAAATTATATTTTTCCTCAGTTCACATAAGAGACAATTATTACTTGAAAAACTACCTGGTTTAGCAAATTAAAACTACTGAGAATATACATTAATATTTCATTTCTTTTAATAAATACTGTTATGTGATTTATAGCAAATATATCAGTAATATTACTTTTTAAATTATATTGGAAAAAAAAACTTTAACAATGGACCGAATCATTATGTTCATATTATAGTCTAATCTAACTACAGCCCTCTGAAACATATCAATAACAGTGAAGTAGAAATATATAGTAACTCCTTAACATACAAAAATTGCTATTTTAGTTTGAAAAATTACATGACAATCAGCAACTGTTTAGATAATTGTTTTTTATTTGATAAGAATTTTGCATTTTATAGCATAAATAACAGCAATTATAAATAAAATTTTGATGATGAGTTAATTAACTCTTTTTCCAAAAAAAAAAAAATTAAATTAAATCCCTTTTTAAGTGATTGCTTTTGTTTGCTATATCTTTTATGTTTGCTATATTTAGTCGTTAGTCCATCTTCAAACATCTTGTGACAAATCCTATTTTTTCTTCTTTGCAAGCACAGAATGTAAGTTTTGAATATATTCCCTTCCAGTTTCTCTGATGTTGTAACACTTACATATACATACTAATAATCGTCGTTAGAAAAACAGTCACTTTTATAGTAACTAATTTTTAAAAAAAATTTACTTCTTACAAGAATCGCGATAGTTGATCTTAAAATTGCGTGAATATGAATAACAATTATGGATTTTGAAATCACATGAATATGAAACTAGATATACGATTTTGAAAATGAGAAAATACAAACTGGGATATAGAATTTTTAAAACGCGTAAATACAAATCACGATTCATAATTTTTAGATCGCGTAAATACGAATCATGATGCGTAATTTTTAGATTGCATAAATAAGAATTATGATGCATAATTTTTAGAATGCGTGAATGCGAATCCCAATGCCTTATTTTAAAATCACGTATAAATACGAAAATCAATGTTTGATATTATAAACCGCATGAGCAAATCAAGACATTGAATTTTAAACTTGCGTGAATACGAATCGCTACATAGGTTTTTAAAAAGGCGTAAATACGAATCACAATATCGGATTTTTAAATCTCGTAAATAAGAATCGCAACGTACAATATTCAAATCGCGTGAATAAGAATCGCAACACGCAAATATGAAAAGCTATGTTTGATATTAAAATCGTGTGAATAAGAATCGAGATATTAGCAGATTCCAGGCTTGGGACCTCTAAAAGGCTTGTCAGAAGCAGCGTCGTTTGAACTACGAAAATCGGATCTATCTGGAGGGCGGGTAAAAAATTCGAAAAATCTTATCTGCTGCGTGTAAAAGGGGAGAAAATAGCTAAAATAAGTAAAAATGAGAAAGGATTGGTAGCTATGTAGTTTGAATTTTCCGTTTCTCTTTGAAAATCGGTGATTTTTCTGAAAAAGCGGCATACTTATGAAAAATAAGTGAAATTTTTAGAAAAATCTGAATTTTTGATTAAAAAAAAAGCTGAAATTCAAGAGATAAAAAAGAAAAAAGCGGAAATCCGCTAAAAAGAGGAAAAATCTCATCCCTGTTATCTACACTTGAATTTCATAAAGTTTTAATATATCTTTAGTATAAGTTACTTAGGCATGCAAGTTACACATCAGCTCCAGGATCCCATCACCTTAATCCAACCCTTATTCAAATTGTCAGCACCCTAGTATTCGCACTCATGGCATTGAAATTGTAGCCAGCAAGATTAGGTTTGTGATTTCGCGACGGTTTTTCTGCCCAATGCCTTTCTTCCACTTCAAAAGTATTTTAGAGATTATCACTTATTACCTTCATCCACTTAAATCTCCAAAATTTAATAATTTAGCAAAATATTTAGTATAATGTTTCCTAAAGTTACTATTTTCCGACAGATGGCATTGTAGCTCTTTTTTAAGATTGTTGCGTTTCGATGCATGCAAATTTCATTCTTCGATTACGATATGTAACAGACTACTGGTAGCCATCTTGATTTCATTTATTGATTGCGACAATTTTAGTAAAATTTGTGAACTAAAAGCACAAACTAAAGAAAATTTATGTTCTGCCACATGAACTTCCTGCGAGCATTTTTTTTTCTTATCTAATTTCAAATAATAAATTTTTAAAAAGTCAGTCAGTCTATTTTAGGATCATTAACGTAATCACTGCTGCGGGATCCCAAACTCACTCGGACAACATTTAGAAAATTGAAGTTAAAAATATACAAAAAAAAAAAAAAAACATTTCCCCTCCCCATTATACTGTAAAGATGTATTATTATTTAACGAAAACTCAATGTTACGGTAAATCATTTTCTCTGGGATAATTGAAGCACAAAATTTATTTAAATTGTATCCTACTGGCTATGTCACTGTTATCATTATGATATAAAACAGGGGTTTCCAACTGGCGGCCCAAGGGCCGCACCCGGCCCGCGAACTAAAATAGATTAGTTGTAGTTTTTTTGCTGACAATTTTCGTAAAAAATCTATATGGATTTAAAATAATTTCTTCGTTTCTGTAAAATTTAACATACCAACGGTGCAAAAAAAAAAATTATTTCTCGGGTTTTGCATCCAAGAAAATATTTATTCAATTACAAAAATAAACGTGTTTTTTCTTTTTTTTAATTTCATCTTTTGTATATAAAGTTGCGGCATGCCATTTGATTTGTGGCCCCCGGCTTCATGCAAGTTGGAAATACGTGACATAGAATATAAATATTTTTCAATATTTAACCAAAAAAATTCACGCTATGTAATACCAATTGGATTTTTTCTTTTTTTAATGTTTTATATTATTTTAGATTTGCAGTGAAGAGACAGTTGTACTGTCTTCAGGTACTAATGTTCAGTCAAAATTTACTAGTTTTATTACTTTGTGTTATTTAGTAGACTAGGGCTATTTTTGTATTACCTTAGCAGTTACAATTAACAGAAATCTGGATTTTTGTAAGACTAAATATTCTCAGGCATGTCAAATCTCTGTGAGAAATGATTAACATTGCCAATACGCTGTATTTTTTTTCTTGTACCTACTTAACATATTTTGTCCTGGTTTTCTTTACCGCTCTTTTGGTATCGATTCTATCAAAAGAATGTCTTTGTATTATAAAAAAGCACATAACTGTTTCTAGAAAATCAAAAAATTAATTTTATCTTTTTCAAAACACACAGAAAAATTCATTAAAAACAAGTTTGTTAATGCAGTGCTCTGTATATGCCTAGTTAAAAGCAGTATTTAGTTTGTCACACATTTAAAATTTTCATTGTTCTGACTTTTAGGCACTCCAACGTATTATTTTCTTATTATTTTGTTTTTACCCATTTTTGATCAATGCATGTTTAATAATGAGTGACATGGCATTAATATCATAAATTAAAAAATTAACACAATACACAAGATTCAATTTTTATCTTTATTTTTTCGTACATAAACTGAAATTCAAGGAGGTAATTAATTTTAAGTAACCAAGTTTAAACATATCGAAAAAGTATTTCAAAGTGAAATCATTATGATTCTTTTCACTTCCTACAAAGTAATTTAAAATCTGATCTGTTTTTTTTTTTTCAATTTTGAAAACAGACTCATAAGACCAATAGAATTTTAATGAATAAAATTCACAGTAAACTTACGATATGATTAAGCTGGAAAAAAAATAATAACACAAGTCGATTTAAAGAGGCAATAAATATTTACATCACTATAAAAAATTATTCCAACTAATTAGCAAATACAATCATGCAATTATGAAGAAACATTGCTAGTCTTTATTTAAGGTTTTGAATAATTCAATTGACACAGTAAACTACATTAGAAGACAGTAATATAAGTAATAAAAAAATGGAATATGTCACATAACCATTCAATGTTAAAAATATTCCTACATAAATTTAGACCAGTGGCTCCCAAAAGGTATTTAATAGAACCTAACTTCGGAACAATTTGCAAAAAAAAAAATAATTTTTTTTTTTTTTTAAATGAACAAAAAATTGCTTTCAATAGCTGATCTTACATACACTATTACCAACACAAAGTTCTGTATAAGGGGAATCGAAGAATTTTTCAAAGCAAATAGTTGAAATTGTTATCAATCAACACTCTTTTACATCTATTTAGAGATTCAAAATTTTAATTTTAACCTTAGCATTAACTTTTACTTCTTAACTACAATAAAGATGTACAATAATAATTATAAGTACAGATTATTGCATAGGAATTTCATTACATAGATATTATTGGGAACCACTGATGGTAAATAGCATCAAAGATGCAATGAACAAAATATGATACATCCAGGTGTTAAAATAAAACCAAATCAATTTTTATCATCAGCAGAATTGCTAATATCATCATCTTTTTGAACTGGGGAAGGTGAGCGTTTCTCAGATGACTTTGAGCGAGATCGAGACGGACTCTTGCGTGATTTAGATCGGCTGCGGCTTTTGCGATCATTCCGATCTTCACTTGGGCTTCGACTACGACTGCGAGACTGCTTTCTGCTGAGGGAGCGGCTGGATCTTGCTTTAGTGGGAGATTTAGACCGTGAATGGGATTTGGAACGGGACTTTGACCTTGATCGTGATTTAGACATAGACCTAGACTTGCTACGACTGCGACTCCTGCTCCTACTTTGAGAACGAGAATGGCTCTTGGACCTAGACCTTGAACGAGAACTGGAAGAAAAAAAAATTAAATAAGTTTAATTCCTTGATTAATAATAGATTCCACAAAGATCAATGGGTATCTTTCCATTTCACCAGCACAAGTAGTTTCAACTATTTCATAATTAAAAAAATAATAATAATTAAAAACTTCCCCGATTATGCTGAGTGAACTCTGGTATGTATATATTGCAAATATTTATAATCCCGAGTAAACTCACACAGCAGAATTCATCAATATGTTTTGTTTTATCACATTTTTACTTTGTCGGTAGCAAAACAAAAAATAATAATTTGCCGTCATTGTAAGTTTGCCAATTTTTGTTTGGGAGTTTCATTATTTGTGGGACTGCAGGCGTGTTTTGTACAATTGGATATAAGACTGTTGATGAATTTACATAGGAAAAAGAAAAAAAAGTCAAAAAATGGCATTTGCAAGCGAAGGTAATACAGATGATTTTTCAGATTATGAAGATGAAAACAAACAAAGACTAATATTTAATTTTTTTAGTTTGCCTGAGATAATTTGGGATAGTAAACTTATGGTATGATAACAGCAAAGCATGTATAGAAGTAAATGGAGAATTAACTGAATTCTTTTTGGTAAAAACTGGCGTAAGACAGGGATGTGTTTTATAAGGATTTTTATTTATACTGGTGATAGACTGGATTATGCGAAACAGCTTTGAAAGATGAAAAAAGAGGAATAAAGTGGAATTTTACAACTACTTTAGAAGACCTTGATTTTGCTGATGACATCGTACTTATTTCATACAAATGTACAGACCTTCAGCTTAAAACAGACAAATTCAACAAATATTCAAATAGTGTAGGTTTATTCATAAACAAGAAGAAAACTTAAGCAATGAGAATAAATCAAAAGAAAAATGACAAAATTAAAATCGAAAATCACAAAATAGAAGACATAGAGTCATTTAGCTATTTAGGTTCTATTGTAGATAAAAAAGGTGGAAGTAGTGAAGATATTAAACAGAGAATAATCAAAGCAAGAACATGTTTTAAGGGATTACATAGATTTTGGAGAGAGTCAAATATTGAAATAAAGACAAAAATAGTTGTTTACAAAGCTATTGTTAGAGCAGTACTATTATATGGCGCAGAAACCTGGAAACAGACTAACATCGAAATACAAAAATTAGAAACCTTTCAAAACAAATGTTTAAGATTTATTTTTAAAATTTTCTGGCCTTACAAAGTATCAAATCAAAATCTATTAAAGAAAGCTAAAATAAAAACAATAGAAGATGAAATTAAAAAACGAAGATGGAGCTGGCTCGGACATATCCTTAGAATGCCCAAAGAAAAAATTACATCTGTTGCTCTTACATGGGCCCCTGATGGTAAGAAAACAAGAGGAACACCCAGACTTACTATCCAGGGCATGTTTTTGGGCGAATTAAAAGAATGTGGAATATCTGGCTGGGAGGAAGCAAGATCTATTGCTAAAGACAGGAGGCGTTGGAGGGATATGCTAGAGGCCTTAAGTGCCCAAAGGCACGTAGAAGATAAGTATAAGTAAGTACACTGATGGTAGATAAAATATATTTTACACACACAAAAAAATTACAATCTCAACCTAGAACTTGTGTATTATGTTTTATTTTAATTCCTTGTATTTATTAATAAAATACAAAAATATGCTGATTTTTGCATTTTTTTCTCTTCAAAAAAATTGGTAAGGGAAGCGGTTAATTTACTTGCACTGAGTACATTTGCATTGGTGACTTTATCACCTGCGTCAGTGAAAGAGATAATCACTGAATAATGAAATGAAAAACTATACATATAATACAAGCCAAAGATGAAAGTTCATTATATACGTGCAATGATTGCTCAAGAAATAAAATTGCCAACTAATCACCTGTGGTAACCAGCTTAGTCAACCTCAAAACTTAACGCATAATACTTTTTTCTCAAAATGTGAACTAGAATCGTCAAAAAATATGACAATTCAATAATTAAAAGGAAAAAATTATAAGTGTGACCAGCATGATTTTTAACTGCTTTGAATGTGGTCACTTATTCTTGAATTTAAATAACAATAAAAAATCATGAAGCTGCCAGAATGATAGTCACAAAGTGGAATGAAAGAGTCAAATCTAAAAGTGGCCTGGAAAAAAAAGGGGACAACAATTGGCAAAACGTATAAGACTTCTCTTTGCTACAGCATATGCATACCAAACTACTTTCATAAAAAGCAAAAACAAACTTAAAAAGAGTACAATTTTCACTTCTCAAGTACAACAAAGGCAGTTTTTAATCCAAAAGTTTAATAAAATACACAATTTTCCATTTCCAAGTCACTTTGGTGAGGAACTAAAAATTTTATGCTTTCATAATAAGTTTATTATGAAGCATTGCACGACTCAATTTTAGATCAATATTTTAAAAAAAAAAAATTATAGTTCAATATTGGTTAAAATTCTTCCATTTAATTAAAATTTATATTTAAAGCTCCCTTAAAAAGTTTTAAAGCAATGTCTAGTCATAAAATTTAAACAAAGTGAATATGCCATATTCCTTTAACATTTTTGTACAAAAGTAATTTTAGTGGATGATCTCTTAATTCAGCATTTAAAATTTTTCTTTGATTACTGCATTGTAAATTGGGATTATATTTTTACTAATATTTTTAAGATCAGATAATAGATTTGAATTAATAATGATTTAACAAAACAATTCTACCCTATAAAATTTTATACCATATTTGTTGGAAAAAAAATCAGCCTTTGTTAATTGAATTACTTTTTCATAAAATGATTAAGTTCTAAAAAGTTAAAAAACAATGAATCCAGTCAATAAGTTAATATATCCGAACCCAGTTTATAATAATTAGACAGTTCTAAGATCAATTACTGAATTTTACGACATTATTAATCGAAATTAATGCAGGACCAAAAATTTAGATCTTTCATTTCTTCAAATTTATTCTTTTAAAATGTGCATTTGCATTTATTAACCACATACAAAAGAAGGAAAACTATGATAATTAATTTTAAGGAGAAAGCTATTTTACTTTTTTAATAAAGAAATAGAGAAAAATAATCATAGGGATTCTAACATATTTTAGAAATAAATAAAAAAAAAAAAATAATGAAATTAAAAAAAAAACTATGGGGACAATAATTTAAAGTTTGAAAACAAAAGTTTAAGCAAATGACAAACTAATTACGACAAAATGTGTTGGAAAAACAATAACTTTCAACTATGACAAATTTTGCACAAATAGTACTAGCATAAATTCTACTTATTTGCATACTAGTAGGATAGAAATCATACAGTAAATTTCTTAGCTCAGTAATTTACTTTATTTTTAATACAATTCTTTCAGTTATAAAACCCAACATTTTTCATAAACAAGCAGATTCACCAAAAAAAGTTTTTAACTCACGCGTAAATTCTCATAACATAATAATATTGCACATATTTAAGCCCTGCTTGCTATAGAAATTGCATAATAAATTTTTAAAAAAGAAACATCATGGGTGAGTGATTAATCAGGGTAAGTAATCAATCCAAGAGTACTTTCTTTTAAAAGTCATTAGAAGTAATTTTTTAAGATATTGCACAATTTTACATTCAAGATTCCCTTTAATAATTGACATCAATCCTTTGCAATTTTTGCATAAACAAAGTATTCAATAGCTAAAGCTTTCTGCAGCCCTTTTTTTAAAAAAAAATCAATTATTGATTTTTCTGAATTGACAAAGACATGCAGTGACTTAAGCACATAATAAAAAGCTAAAAAAAATAATAATTTACACGGCCCATGTTGAAAATTAAATTGTTTATTGGATGCAATTACAATCATTAATTGAAGACTCAAAACTGTAAAAATTAGAAAGTTAGGATATTTCTAGATAAAAAATGCATTATTTAATTATACAAAATTATTAATTTCAATATCTTTAGGTATATGGTCACTCAATTCAGCACTTGGACATATTGGATGGATAGTTTCAATTGTTTTTAATATAATTATAAAAGATATTAATCAGACTTTTTGAAGTGATAAATCTAAGTAATCTTAATTAATGTATTAGTTATTATGTATTAGATAAGTGAAGGGTTCCTCAATTCGTACTTTTTAAAAATTTTCATGAGTACAAATTATGTAAGCATAAAGAATTCAATAGTAATTAAAACCCTGTTTAATCAATTAAATAAAATACTTCGAAAAATAAAATATAACTGGATAGGATTGACCTCAGTGATTAATAATTTTTCCCATTTCTTTTTGTATATTAATTTTGCAAATTTGTTATAAAAGTAAATTACCGCTGATCCTTTATTATGAAGAAAAATAAAAACATTAACATTACAGAAAGAAAAACATTAAAGATTTATGTCTTTACAATACAAATGTGCTCGAAACAAGAAAATTAATTTTAAAAATAAAAAGAAACTAAGCCCATTCGATAGAAAAATTATCAAAAACCTAAGCTGTATCATCAAATTTCACCAATAGGGCATACATTAAAATATAAAATAGATAACAGAAAACTAGAATAGAATATTTATTGTCTACAATAATTTTTAAATCAACTTAAGAGTTACTATCAATGTAATCTTCTTAACAAAGGATGTAATCTCTCAGCAATGAATGTAATTTTTCAAAAGTATAATTTTATAAATCATTACAAAAAATTGTAAGGATTTTACACAATATGAAACACTTCATAAAAACAACGTTTTTTTTAAAAAAATACACAATAAGTCCAGGGTTTGAAAAAACCCGGGGATTTTCGAAAAAACCCAATTGGGGTTTTATTTGAAAAAATCCAGGGAAAATTGGGTTTTTTCATTTAGTGCTCATAAACTACATACTGTGAAAATATTTTTATGTATTAAATAGTGATGTATAAACTTAAAAATGGAAGTAAATCCAAAAAAGTTTATATAAAATACATATATTATAATTAAAATAAGTTTAAAGAATGCACTATCCCTAATACATATTTGAATCTTTATTCTTAAATACATAACTTTTCACAATTTTTAACTGAAGCACTATAAAATATAAATACAACAGTAATATAAAAGGAACAAGTTTATTAATCTTTTTGCTTTCGTCTGTTGTTTATGTTTATATATACATATATTACTTATTACAAATTTATAATCAGTGAAAACTAAAATTTCATCTAACTTTTACCTTAAATAAAATTAAACTGGAATACATATTTAATGTTCTTCCATGTTTTTATAATACGATTAATAGAAAGTGAAATTAAAATTGCGTATAATTATAAAGAGTATCAGTTACTTGTCCTATTTTTCAAATATTTAACCTTAGATAAAAGACTGCATTTTTAGATAAATTTTAACTTTATAATTTTAANGCTCATTTTTTTAAAATCAGATAATAAAACTTTAAATTTGTTTATTGTTGTTTAATGTATCACTTAATAAATTTTTTTTTGTTTGCTTTCAATATTTTTAAACATGATTAAAAGAAACAAAATAAATTGTATTCAAATGAAATCTTAAAAATAATATTTAAAAAATCTTAAAAGTAATATTTTAATTTTTAACTGTTTTTTAATTGTGATAAACTTTCTCCAAATAGTTAAAAATTGTCACCAGATGTTAAGAGTTAACTTAAAAAAAGATCCATTTCTCTCTTAGATGGTGATACTTTTACGAGTTTTGTAGCTTTACCTATTCCTAATCTATTTCGTAGTTTACTCTACACAAAACTGAAAGTTGAAAAGTGTCTTTCGATAGAGACAGAATGCTGGTGCTGAGTGTAAAGAAATTTCGTGGAAACCTGGAATTTTTTTATTTATTTATTTATTTTTTGCCGTAATCTTTCACTATTTTTTGATGAAAACTGTAGAATAACGGTGTTAAGCATCATTGATTTTGGAAAGTATTCAGGATTCGTAATTTTGAATGCCATAACACCTGGCAGAAACTCTGGATGATGCTTACACAGTTTTCTGCTAATTGCTCTTGTTCATCATTTAAAAATTGTTCCCTTATTTCGGGATCAAGGATGCATATGCTAATAAATGAGGTAGCTGAACAGCCTGATGGAATCTTTAAACAAAATGTTTATGGGGTTCCAATTCATCACACGATAGTAAGTTAATTCATAACAGCTTCTGAAATTGAAAGGTTTTCTAATTTAAGCTTTTTTAAAGCTTCAGAAACAATTGATATCTGTTTTTCCAAATTGATAGTTTGGTAAAGCCCAACATTATTAAGTATTTTTGACGTATAGTTATTAGATTCATTTTGATGTTCAAGAGCAATCTCTTGATATTTATGATAATTATTGGCAAAAGTTTTTACGCGGTCAAACTAAGAACTCCACCTAGTATCATTTGGTAAATGGGGCACCAAGGAGTTTTTTTCATTTGCCCATCCATGTGCTTGATGCATATTTCTAAAATATTTGTTAACTTCCACGATGTGTCCAATGACAGTATTAGGAGATAATTATTTTTCAACCAAATTTTAAAAAAACAATTTGAGAAAAAACCCACCAAGTGGGTTTTTTCTAGGTAGGCCCACCCAATTAAACCCGGGCGGATTTTTTCAAAGTGGGCCCACTTAGCGAACCCTGAATAAGTCACAAACATGCATTAGCCTATAGATATATGTTACCGTAAATGTGACTAATCCGGTGATTATATATAATAACCAGTAATTTTGTTTAGTCACCACTAAATTTGATTAATTTTTGAAAATTCAAATTAACCGGTTTGGCAGCATAATTCCCAACTCATAATGGTAAATGTGATAATGGTACCCAACAATGTAAAAAAGAAGGAAGTCTTTCAAACTTTTATACCAAATATCAATTAACAATTTGTGCAGAAAAATTTATTTTGCTTTATTATGTTTCAAATCTAGCAATATCACTTCGAGAATGTGTTAGAAAGACATTTCTCTCTGGAGGTCAGAGATATTAGTGATGCGTTTGCAAGGGACAATGCGAGTAATAAAAGTATGTCAAACTTTTTCATTCTAAATGCCGTAACAGTTTAACAAGCTTAAATAAGTAAACTTAAAATATTTAGTAATTTGTAGTAATAGCTTTAAAAGTTATTTGGAAAAAAAATTTTCTCTCTAGAATATGGGCTAAATTTTTTTATGTAACTGCAGTTTGAGTTTGTTTTTTGTGTGCAACTGTTTTGTACATGTCCATGTAAACTGTATTTTTTTATTTTATGTCAGTCCCCTTATTCAAATTTTGTTCAGGCTAAATAAATTTGATTTAAAATAACCATTTATTGACTCTTTTTAATGTTAAAATATAAAATATTGTAATCCGTTGCCGCATACGCCATAGTGTCCAATGAAAAAATATCTTGCCAAGTTTTAACCACGAAAAAAAAAACTGCACTCTATTTTACCGGCCCAACCAGTCATATTTATTACATTTTCCATTACGAGTTAGGAATTGCGCAAAACGGTTAATTTGATACATTTTTAAAAATTTATGTATAATTACCGGTTATTATATGTAATCACCAATTTATTACTTTTATTAAAAGAAAAACTGCTTACCGGCGACGGCGAGATTTATCTTCAACTAATTTAATACGACGACCACTCAAGTCTGTATCATCCAGTTTATCAACAGCATTCTTCATGTCAGAATAACTTGCAAATTCAACAACACTATAAAGAAAAAGGTTATTAAGAAAGGTAACTATTAATTTTTTTAAAAAAAAATAGCTAAAATTAGCAGTTAAATACAATTTAAACAAATAATTGGTTGCAGTCTAGCTTAAAAATAATTTCTTAACATCTATGCATCATTTTTTAACAATATGATTAAGATGTCAGGTACTTTTTTTTTAATGAGTGACCTTAATTTAAATAAATCAGCTTTTTAAATGAATAGGGTGGCCAAAACAATTATTAATAATTTATACATTATATTGCATATTTTACTTCAATTAAAAAATATAACACCATACTGTGAAACAATGATAGTTAAGACAAAACATATCATATAACAGAGAAAAAAAATATTTTTAAAAATAATAACGCTTTGTCTAAGTTAGCCAATACAAAAAAAAAAAATTTTTTTATTCTGCAATTTGGAAGTCAAAAATTTTTTGTTTAATTTCATTTTACATTTTGTACCTGCAAAATGCAAAAATGAACAAGATAGTAATTTTTAAAGAAAAAAAAGGGCATATCTCGAGTTATGTAAATTAATGTAAAATAACATTATTGCATATACTTAAAAATGAAGAGATGAAATTATATTAAATAATCCCTAATAAATCCTTACATTACATAAACATACTATTAATATTAATATGTAAAACTATTATATATATTAATATGTACTAATATATAAAATTGAATAAAAAGTAAACTCAATTCATATATGCTTCTTTCCAGATTTGATAACAAAACTAAATGCTTAAAAGTTTAGACCTTAATATATTTATTATTAGTAGAATGTCTGCAATACACAGCAGATACTAACTCATTAAAAAATCATTTTAAAAATACTAAATCATCTCACAAAAGAAACAAATGTATAAGCATTATTCTATGTAGCATAGCAACTCTGTATTAAATGGAGACAATTCAATTTAAGGAATTAAGTTGGAAAATTTTACAATTCCTTTAGATTAAATTTTTATATAATATTTTTTAAATCCTTTCCTACCACTTTTCAGAAGCTATGATCCAAACAAATTTCATGAGAAATGAATTTAATCCTTGTGAATTAATAATTTCTTATGAATAAATAAAAGCTAATTTTTAACACTTAAAATCATTACGAATTAATAAGAAAAAATCAAGCTTTACTATTTTTCTTTACCGAAAAAGCAATGTGAAGCTATTCATGTGTGAAATGACACTATTCATGTGTTAAAAAAATTACAGAACATATAAAAATTGGGAGGTCGAAATGTTTTAATTTTTGAGGATATCAAAAAGTTTATAAATAGTTCTTTTAAAAGACACTAACGAAACACTCGACTTATGGCAACAAAAATAAACTCTACAAAAATTGGTAGAAAATTGCAACAAGTATTTTACTAATTGCAAAAAACATACATTAATTTTTATATTAACATGTTGAAAAAGATCCAAAATCACTAAATACTTTTTAATTTATTATCTGATACCTCTGTCCTTTAGGGTGGTCTTGCACTTAATGACATGAATAAATTTAGACAACATGGTGGAACAATGTCATTATGTTACAAGTTAAGCAGAAGGTTTTATCATTTTACAAAGAATGTTTAAAGACAGTAGTGAATAGCGACTTTTTTTTAAAGAATAAAACTTATAATTTTCCTTTATGTTAAATAAGTTGAAATTTCTTAATATTTCTTAAAAACTTAACAAAAATTGTTTCACAAAAGTAGCTCATACACCAGTAAAACACTTATCTACATCTGTGGTGCTATTTAGGTTTATTTAACACTAAACATACCAGCACTTTACAATACCATAACTAGTCTTTTGACCAGTTATGGTAGGCTTAGTGTTAAATTAAAATATTTTTCCTAACATAGAATGGAATTTTTTTCCCCAATTTAGATGACAATTTACATAGATGGTAAAAAATTGCAAACAATAAATATATTTTAATAACTATAGCTTCAGATTTATCAGAAATTTAAAACACAAATAATAAAATTTTACTACAATACTTTAGTTATTTGAGATGGACGATTTAAGATTTGATTAAAAATTCCACAAGCAACATGCTTAATTTTATGCAATTTTTTAGAGGTAAATAGCAAATGCAAAAATATATTTATTTCTAAAAATCGAAATGTTCGTACCCATTAAAGATGTTGACACATTGAACCAACATAAATGTTATCTTTACAGTATGCAGGGAATTACCTAAGTCTATTGAAAGAGGTATGGTACCCGTTGCATAAAAATTTAAAAAGTATGCACATCTTTGCTTCACTTTAAAAACAATTTACTTTTTACTAAGATATAGTTTACAATGACTAACAATTTTATAATTATGAGAATATAGCTTTAATATGACTTCTTATGGCATTCTTGATATTTTTATCAAAAAAAAAAAAAAAAAAAAAGAAAAAAAAAAAAAAAAAAAAAAAAAAAAAGATATAGGCTTGGTTAGAATAAACTCGAATTTTAAAAATTCATTCCCCAATGCATATTTTACATAGACAGTTTCCATTATACATTTTCCGTAAACATGTCTCCTCAGAACTTGTGCTGTCTTGATAGTTTCAACATTTTTCTGGGTTAAAGCCAAAAGTTAGCTAGAAATGAAGCATAATGAAGCTACTTCCGAAAACATTCAGTTTTTTTGTCACTTTTTCTAACACAAAATTGGGTACTGTCTTGAAATTTGAATTCAGTTATTCTGATTGAACTAACTATGCAAGTTCTCCTGGTCAAATGACTGGTTGTGGTAGGAATAAGTATACGACAAGTATTATTGGAAACAAATAAAATACGAAGAAAAAAAGAATATTAACTGTATATAATCATTAGAAAAAGTCATGTGCAAGTTAAATAAGCATAAACAATAAGGTGATAAACGCATTTTCGACGCAAAAGTTCTTGAACGGTCATTTGATCTGTTACGGTATGTTTAGTGTCAGATAATATGCTTTTAAAAAGATAATACCCTTTAAAAAATATTTTAATGAAGGTACTGTTTTCCTTAAAGCTGAGTTTGTGAAAGAAATGTTCCATCTAGTGATTAATTTCTGACTAATGCTCAATGGCTGTAAATTTACCATTAAGAAATTAAAGATCTAATATCAGCAGACAACAGTCAGGTCCATTGTCATATAATGAAAAAGCATTGATAGTAATAAAATTTACAATAAAGTTTTCAACTTATGCAAGCATACCCTTCATTGCGTCTTTGTTTATGGGCATCAGCATAAGTCACTTCACCAGCTTGTCTCATATAATCTTTCAGATCCTAAAATTAAAATTCTATTAATACAATATTTTGCAACAAAAAAAATATTAAATTTATATATAAGAGAATCACAAACTATTTTAATATAATAGAAAACTACATTTTTTAATTCTCTTGATCAACCTTTGAACATATGGTCCTTTTTCTTTGAACATATGGTCCTTTTTCCAATAATTTTTACAGTGTTTAACTTGAAGATTTCTTCTTTATGCTTTTGAAAATGATAAGGTTTACTTCACATTGGCAATTTCAAGTAGGCAAGATGTTTATAATTCGAATTTAGTTCTTTTAAAAACAGTATATTTGTGACACACATTGTGAATGGAAATTTTGGCATCGATTGTGGGGAACTTAGCATAATAAATATGCAAATTTTGAATACATAATTTATCATTTATAAGTAAATTAGCTAATTTTTAATGCTTTACTTCAATAAAATTTTTCTCCTTAGAAAACAGTGAAGAAATATTAATGTATAATTAAAATTACACGCTAATAATTATTGAGAAAGTAAAATTAGAACTTTTAAATTTAAAATTTCTTATAAATAGGCTAAAAATAAGACTTTAAAAAAAATATCAATTAAATATTTCTCAGAACCAGTTCCAATTTAAATGAAGAGATCACCCATAAGGAATTTTGCCAGCATTTTTTTTTCATTCGCAAAATTCTTCAAGAAGTTCCATTCATCAAAATCAATTCCATTCATCCAATATTACAAAACCATTTTCCTGATCACAGCATCCATATATCTATTTGCATACAACCATGTTCCTGAATCAAGACATCAGTATCTATTTTTCCAAGATATTAGATACTTGGCTCTTATATTTTTCAATCAGCATTCCATAGAACTTTATAATTTCACCATTTGGTTTTCATCTTCATCATCAGAGCAATTTCTTTCGAACATTTCTTAAATACAGAGATGTATAAGTTATCCACTTGAAACTTTTTTGAGGATAAAGAGGATAAGCACAATGGAAAATATTTTTTTAAAAAAATAAGTAATTTTATTAATATTCAAAAATTAACATAACCGTAAAACAATGTGTTACCTGAATGAAAAAAGACTTCAAGAGAAAGAGGGTAGGTAGATTTTGCATCAGTATCGACCACCACACATAGCGCTTGCCCACCACCACGGGCCGTGACGACAACCAGAACTGTGACTATCGTGCCAGATAGGGCCAGGACCCTCGTGACTTAGGTTCCAATGTGTCAAATAAGGTTTTATATGGCAGTGATAAGCCTCAGGCTTGCCTTTAGAGTGCCCACTCAGTGGGTTCAGGCACTACATCCAACTTGAAGAAAGTAAGGTTGTGCCACAATGAGCGATCCCATCGTTAAGTGGATGGTGGTTGCAGAATAGCAGGCCTACGTTCTACTGGCCTTTGCCACTTTAGCGCACATCCACAACCCTCTACCAGACCTGGGGCCGGATGGTAACTTATGAATGAAAGAAATGGATAATTTTTAGACAGCTGTGCTGAACAACTAGTTTGGAATCACTGTAACTATCATGCACACTGTTAAAGAAGAAAAATATGAAATGATAAAGAATGTTATGGTGAAGATTAACGATGAAAAATTGCTTTTTAATTTAAAACTAATCTAACTTAATTATTTTGTAAATCATACCATCCCATAATCCATTATTTTTACTGCCAAAATTACATGCATCTTTTAAAATGAAGGAATAAAATTAAATTTAATACTTTATTTACCCGTTAGTATAAAAAAGAAAAATTGCAAAAATATATTGTTAAGAATTACACTTACTTAAAAAAAAATCTTATTATGACACTCTGTGAAGCAGCTAATATTAGATGGGAAAAAAAATCTAACAGGTTTTCTTTCCTTTTTTTGAGATATAAGCTAAGAAAAGTGCTTTTGCTGAATATGAACTGATAAGATCGTAACACAAGTTTCACACAAAAACAAAATTCTGGCAAAATGATCAAATGTGAACTGCAAAATATTTCTAAATTAATGTTTCTAAGTTCAATGGTGCAAAAATTAAAAACTATTTAACACACTAAATTTCCGAAAGACCTTTTCCCGAATAACTCTAAATTGCATGAACATTGACCAGGCAATAAATGTTCAGTTTGAAGCAAGTTTATAATTTACAATCATGAATAAAATATTGACATACATAAGAAATCTTACTTACATAGAAAAATTAGAATTAAATATTTAAATAGATAAAGTTAACATACCTGCCAGCTAACTCTACTACTCAAGTTTTCCACAATCAGTCGGTACTCAGTCCTGGTGGGTGGCCCGTATCTTCAGCAAAAGGGAAAAAGATTCAAAAGAAAAATCTCTCAGTTACACATAGAAGCATACAATTTGCCTTTGGCAGAACTATCAGAAGTTCTCATCACTACTTTCAAGAAAATTTTAAAAACCATAACCCACCCAATTAACTGCCAATTAATTCAAATTAAAAGTTAACTCAACATAAAAACTTCAGCAGGCGTTGCATTTATTTCAACACTAAATTAGTCCAATGCCAAAGCATGAGGAAACAAAAAGTTGACTTACAAGCACAAAACAGCTATATAAAATTTCAGAAATTTTTTTAGACTTTAGAATTTGTTTTCAATCAAGTAAATAACTGTAGCATTTGAAATCATTGGTGGACTAAAACCCTTAAATCCTTTGGTAACCAACACATCTGTCACTAATCAAGCATAGAGCAACAGCAAGTTTGGTTGGTTGGGATAGTTTAATGATTAAAGAAATGCCAACTTGCTTCAGTAGATAAATATTTTTGGGGTGTAATCTTTTGATGTAAGATTATTGGTATAATAAATTTGATTAATAAGATTTTTACTTTTCGCTACTTTTAAATTATTCAAAGTACTATCTGATAAGCCACTTTGTCACTGTTTGACCTTGTAAAAAATTTGAAAAATTAACCAAAAATTTATTTAGTTTGTAATTTTGTACTGTATTTAAAAATATTTGCTGTATCAATCTGAAGCAGTATGAATCTCTATGACTAGGGTGTAATGGAATAATGCAGGTTTAAGCTTATCAAAGAATTGATTTTAAGATACAAATTCAATTTTAAAAAATGTAAAAATGAATAAATAAAAGGATTTTATATTAAATAAATAAATAGAAAGATATCCTGTATTAAAAAATTAAGTCAACATGAGTATTTTAGAATCAATGACAGACAAATTTCTAGTTTGACGTGTAACAAATCACACATATTATTAAATATCCATGTTTATTTTTCCAAATTCTAATTGAAATAATAACTGCGATTTTGAATATTCTTTTTATAAGATCCATTTACTAATTTATTTAAATTGTTAAGTAAATTATATCGAGTTTTATTCAAAATAAACTAATAAATGTGATGGTTTTTATGAAGCATAAAAGTGGTTTAAAACATTTATCAAAAATAAAATAGAGAATACAAAAAAGAAAATAGCATTCTGGTGAACTTCAACATAATGTTAGATATTGATTCATGTAAAATTACTATTGACCTCAATATAGAAAACAAATTTAACTTCTAATGATAGCTATTGGTAATAACTTAACATTTCTCAGAAACTAAGATTGGAATGAAGGAAGGGATGCAAATATTATGTCATTACAGAAATTAAAAATTTTTTAATTTTTACTTCATAAAAAAATTACTGTATTTTTCCAAAGAAACTGAAAAATTAGATGTCTGTAGTACGAAATACTTTATTTTTTAGAATCTAGAACATTTTTCATACAAGAGAACATAAGAGTCTCCATTAAAAATAAATTAACACCAGAATTTTAAAAATGATTTGTAATTAAAAAAAAACACTAGTCATTAATATTTAGTAGAATGTATAGGTGGCAGTTTAACAACAAATAGTTGGCATAACGATGTTTTTTTAACAAGTTTTTTCATTAAGTTAACATATTCATGTTACTGATAATTATGATTTTAATGAAATATTAAAACTTCTGTTTGCGTCAAAAAATTAGGAACAACAGATAAATATTTACTTGTCACGTCCTCCTCCTCCTCCGCCACCACCTTGTCGACGCCTCTGCATTTGATTATTTCGGTAACCTCTATTTCTATCCCTATACATATCATTCCCTCGAGGAGAGCCTCTAGCATGTTCAATGGTAACCCTAAAGAAAGAAAAAAAATTAATATTTCAGTGTTACATGATGTGTCTTAACTAATATAAAAACTTTATGTCTTTATAAACACACAAATAAAATCATTTGATATAATTCAGAAGGGCATAACATAAAAACTAAACATATTAATATAATTGATTTTAATATTTTGTTGTCAGATCAGTTAATAAAAAATAAATTTTATTTAAAAACTTAACTATATAAAACAGAATTATTCAGACTAACTTCCTTATCTCAATTAACCATGAATTGTATATTGATCAGTATTTATGTAGGTTCTTAAAATGAGTTAGTTACATGTAAATTTATTATAAAGTGACAGCACCTATAAAAGTAGGTAATTTATTTCCTCTTTTGCTAAGAGGATAAAAAATGCTTTGATTTTAAAGTCTGGTCTGGTAATATGTAAACTAATATGTAAAACATACACCATGTTTAAAATGATTATAAAGCATGCTACAATTTTTATTTCATACACATGGAAAATACCAACTACTTAATCCTTATAATTCAGAACACACTGAGCACTTTTCTCTACATGGTTTAATTCAAATAACAGAGGTTCATCATCATCATAAGGAGTTACATTAAAATCTGAATCAGATAAATATTTTTATTTGGTTACAAAAATAGTTATTAAACAACTAGCATAACCATAACTGTTAAAACAGCTTTAAAAACTCTCAAAAATGGTGTATATAAAATTAGACTAATAAATATTAGGTTGTAGAATAGCCTTGATGATTAGGCCTTAATGTAATAGTTAAGCATTTACATAAAAATTTATACAAAATATTGTACATTCATAAAGAGGAGCACATAATGCTGTGTGCACCTAAGGACTAAAATGAGCATATGTATAAAGTGCACCTCCATACATACTAAATAAAAATCTATACGTATTTGCTTAGGTTGTGAATATTTCTTTTTAAAATCTATTTCAAAAATTTTTTACCAAAAATAGGTGGCTACAAAAAGTTTGAATCTGGTAACAGGAACTAATTAATTGCTTCCCCACGAAGTGTTTTTGAAATGAGATTATGTGTTGACAGAAAATCTTTCATTCTTTCCATAAATAATCTGATACTGTATTAACAATTTTTACAGTAAAATAGTGAAAATTAACTTCAAAAAAAATATATATCCAAATCCCTATTTTATTGTATGTCCATAAATTTATTGTAATTAACCTTGTAAGCTAATATGCATATTTACTTAGGTTAATTATTTAACTATTTACATGGGAATAAAAGTAAATATTTACATGGGAACAAAAGTAAATTTGTAACTCATTTATAATGCTTTCAAACAAAATCTAAATAATTGATATATTTTTATAACTACGGCATGTTATTGTCAGATTCCCAACATGTTTTGCAGATTTTGAGCTTGAAAGTAATTGTACATTAACGACATAGAATATATAATATTGTATAACAATATGTTGCAACTTACCTTTCACCTAATAGTTCTTTGCCATTTAATTCATAAACTGCATCATCAGCATCCCTGTAGTCATCAAATTCCTGCAATATTAAAATGAGATCAAAAAAAATTTAAGGCAAGCTTAGTTTACATTTAAGCACTTAAATTTATTGAATATTGATCAAAAAATTCTTAAACAGATTATACAAAGCAAGATCCTGTAAAACAAATACTTATTAAATCATCCCATTGCTATTAAAAAAATTACAGAAATAGCAACAAAAAAAAAGCAGCAAAAATTATTAGAAAGCTAGTAATGGAATTACAGTGATTCACCTCCTGCAGAATTAAGATAGCAGTTCTTGCAGATAGATTCTACAATTGGAAAATAAACTACTTAGATTTCCTTCTTCACTTAGTTTATACTTCTAGGTTTCCTTTCATATACATAAGGCATTTATATTATAAGTTTGTAACCATATAATAATTAGTTTTGAAAATATCTCGCTTAGAGATCATCAAGTTTGTTAAGTGATCATCAGATTTGTAACAGAAAGATAGAAGAAAATCCTTTTACAAATGTAACCAGTGTATACAGATTTTTGGGGTAAATTTTATTGTTTCCGTGAAGGAAACACTAGCACTCAAATTTTGGCTGTCAAAAGCAACAACTAAAAATTATTTTATTATTCATAAATATATATAAAGGTTATAAGTTCATATCCATATAAAAATATGAATGGGTGTTTGAATTATAAGCCTTAATTGTTTTTTCTAGGAAACTTAATTTGTCATATAATTGAGCATGCAAAACTAATATATTGGAAATTTTACATACCACAAATCCAAAACCATTTTTAATAAGAATCTCTCGTATTTTCCCATATCCTTTAAAAAACCGTTCTAAATCTCTTTCTCTCACTTCATAGCTCAATCTTCCAATGTATATCCGAGTACTCATTGTGTAGACCTAAGGCAAACAAAATAAAAAACATGGCGTCACAAACAGAAAAAGTTAAAAATTGAGAATATAATTAAAACCAGAACTAATACTACAATCGTTATTCATGAATATATGTAACACATTCTTTTCTGACTTACTTATATGCGTTCAATAATACTTATGAATTTATTAATTCAAGTTGAAAAGAAAATTTTCACACCGGTAACAAAGACATTCGTTCAATATTTGGAAATAAAAACCTACGGGGTCTTCTAAAGTGATGCGTAGATAAATTGAAATTGTAGCTTCCGGGGATTTATTTCTTCTTCTTTAATAAATCATATTTTGACAACATTTTAAATTATTTAGGTTAGAAAATTTAGTAAAAATATTTATGAAAATTGAAAAACTGGCTAATCAAATTCTTGATCACATTTCAGAATTCGCATATTCGATCTTTCCGCATTTTGTCTGAATGGCCCTTAGGCGAACGAGTTTGCTATAGCAGGAACTACCTTTCCCTTCCACTCAGGGTGCATTCACAATGCAAATGACAGTCCTAGACGTGCGTGCGAATGTTTAGAAACCACATGTGTGTAAAACTAACCGCTGTGCATGTCTGAATCGCTTTGGGGTAATATAAAATATTTGAATCACAGGGGCGTGAACCCAATGCAGTGAAAATGGCCCTTCACTCTCTACAGTTAGTGAGCAGTGAACTTCGATCAACTTGCGAAGGGACCGAGGATGTGTGGTATCATTTCTCATTAAACTCTTCTACCGTAAAGTGCTCGACTCCACGCACTGGTTGTCGGGCTACCAAATTGAGGAATCCACCCCCCTAACAGAGGATCAAAATTGTGATGTCACGTCATCAGTTCATCCTTAGGTATACTTCCAGGCTTTTATCAGTAGCCCATTGTGCAACTCTAATGCGATGTAAATGAAATACTACTAAAATTCCTGAATTCTATTCCTTCTGCAGACAATTTCAATACAACAGCAACGACAAAACATTGTTCCTGGTTTGTGATCCAATGGTTACATTACAAAGACATATACAGGGAATAAACAATTCATGGATGAAAAGATGCTTACTGTGAAGAAATTGTCAGCACAGACGAAGTCAGTCTTAGAAATATGCACTAGCCTAAGGCGTTATCCAGGTGAAATACAGCGTCTGGAATGTATCGAAGAGTGGGAAGGATCATTGGCTCTACAATTTCCTTTACGTGCTGATCCCTGTTGAGGTTGCCCGCAATTTGCACAAGATGGAACCGATAATTATACCCAATAGATACCTTCAACATAATGCTAGGTATTTGTGAGGAATGATGCTGGATAATACAATGTGTCTGCAGACGTTCCTTTCTGAAAGGTCTGGCGCGTTCTCGTTCATCATTGTAATCCAGATTATGGTGAGATTCGCTGGTCGGAGAAAACAACTTGTTACCAATGGGCATGCCAAGGACTGTGTTCCTGAGCCCATTGAACAATGAGGCCGGAGGAGTTTGTGATTCAGAGACAGAGGAATCCTTGCACGCAGTTGATGCTGCAGCAGGCAGGCAGTGACTAATCATCGAGATAGAAAACAAAACCAGTGTAGCCATGCTCATACTTTGTGTTAACACACGAAAGCACGTTTTCGATCCTTCCACAGCCATGCAGGTAAGGTGCCTGACGTCCCGAATTTTTGTCCTATTGCGTGCCCCACTGCCAGGTTTTCGCCTTGTTCTTGTTTGTTTCGCCTGTGTCCATTTTTTCCAAACCCGCATCCTTGTTGCGGTATTACACAGCGTGCGGGCTGCGATTTCTCGAAAAGAAAAATGTACCCTCTCCCATACCGACATTGCGGCCTCGTACGAACTTCGTCAGCTATTGGTATGGCGCTCTCCGCTTTTGACGAGGCATATTGACAACTAATTAAACGTTTACCAGAGACAAAAGACAATAAACTGATTTCAGTTGATCTTTACAATCCTTTATATACATAGAACAAGTGGTTGATAAGGAATCTGCTCACGTTCCACGCATGCGCAATTGCTTTGTAATTCTAGTCATTCATATTTCTTACCTCACTTTATATTTACGTTAGTTTCTTGATTTATTTGTTTATGTTATTAGCTTGTGGTTACATTATGTTAGCTTTGTCCAATTTGCATAATTTCTTCTCGATGTTTCAATTTTCACAAACATGATGTACTTTACAAACAGCTAGTTAAAAATTACAATTTAAAAGCTTCATAACACTTTTATTCCCATTTATTCTCCTTTTTATTTACCACCTTTATATCAACATGCCTTCGTGTATGTCTGTTCGGGTGGAATTTTGCAATCGATTTTAAACTAACTTTCTGACTAGCTACAGACTTCAAATTTGGCACATAGTTCAGAATTGGATGACAATGCGTGAAAAGGAAGAGAAAAAAGACATACAATGTAAAATAAAATTAAAATTGAAGAAAAATTAATATTTTCGCTATTGTCTTTTGTTGTCGATTCGATTATTTCAAATTAGTGTCACATGTCAGGTGAAAAGTTTTGTGTACAGTGAGTGAAAAAATTGAGATTTTGGAAGTGAGTACAAAAAAAATCAAAATAAAAATAATATTTTTAAAAAACACGTTTTTGTAGTGGAGAATAATAATTAAAAAAAAAAAAAAATTGAAAAACGGAAAACGTGGGGCACATGAAATTCATAACAGTATATATACACACACCTACATATACACCTTTTTTAACTGATACACGTGCACAACCACATCCTCATACACAAACATATTCCACATTCACATTCAGATACAATTACAGATATACATACTCATATTATTACTACACTGTTACTGTTATGTATTTCATGCGCCCCAAGTTTTTCGTTTTTCAAATTTTTGTTTTTTAATTATTATTCTCCACTACAAAAACGTGGTTTTCAAAAATATTATTTATATTTTGATTTTTTAATTAAAAGTCTATTTAGTTAAAAAAATATTTATATTAATTATTCTTTTAAAAATAATCAAGTGATTTAAATAACACGAACCACGTTTTGTAATATTATATTCATTAATCGCTTAAACATTTTTGAATTGTTACAAACACATATTTACCCATAATTTTAAACCATGTATTTTTAATATTAAATATATTAAATGACAAAATCCATAATTTCTATGGAATCTGTAGAATAATTCTTTAGAAATGAATAATTAAAATACGACCTTTTTTAAAATGTCATTGATCAGAAACCTTTCGGCCGATTTCGCTAACATTTTATATCATAGTTATTTAAAACTTCATTGTTTAAAGAAGAAGTAAAAATTTGGATAAAAGATCTTTTAACAGTTTAAAAAATTTTTGACCACAAATAAACCATAAAATTAGTAATGAAATTATAAAAAAGCGATATTTTAAATGTAATTAATTGCCTTTGAATAAACAAGTTTCATAATTGCGTAAAATTTTTTTTGATTTGCTTAAATGGCTTCAGAAATATTGCGGAATTCTTAAGAAGTGCCACGAACCTTATGGAGTTCAATTTATCGACCAATCTCCAAAGTTAAGCATTTGATTTTAACTATTTTTATTTTAAAGTGCTTTATGAATATTTATAAAAATAGCTACATTTGTAATTTAATAAAGAAAATATAAAAATGGAGCCATTTTATTCAAAAAATTACACGAAATGAGAAATCCGCTTTGTCATAATAAAACGATTTAGAAGCAGGAACAAATATATGCTAGCTGAAACTACAGCGACAAAAAGTAGTTTCATTTTCTTTAACTGTAGCGTTAAAATAAAAAGAGTGGATCAATATTTGGGATCCGTAACTTCGAACACACCTGGTATAAAGTGGCCACACGTGCGCCAATGGGAGGTTGGAAAACGATTTCATCATGGCACCACTGAGTCTTCCCCATACCTTGTTGGCGCCACCTTGATGATCAAGGCATGAGTGTTTAATAATTGAAGATTGATGTGGAAAGGTAAGGGCAGAGCACTACAAACTTGTCATTTTCGTCCGTGAATCTGAAAGTTTGGTAAGTAGTTTCGGTTTCATTTTCCTAATCGAAAATATTGATTGCGTTCTTTTTGTTTCAAACAGGAAGGACTTAATTTTTAACAGGACTTAATTTTTTTTACACACAACAATTCCTTTGCATAATATTTGAATTGTTGTCCAATAAATATATTATAATGTAATGAAATTGCTTTGCACCTGTTTTCTTTTAATGAGGATGTTACTTTTAAATGATATTGTATAAGAATATGAACACTTTTCGATCATAGTTAAATGGTTTGATAGTAAATTTAACATCGAGGCATTTTAAAAAATAACTGAAAGTTCTAACTAAATTTTACCTTTTGTTTTGATTTATTATTTTTGGATATGAAAAGTAGTTTCCATATGACGAGTAATAACTGAAACGTTATAAATAAAATAATTTAATTTTTTTGATAATAAACAACGCCTTATTTGTGGGTTTGCACAAAAAAGTAATGAATAATATATTGTGTGTAGCGTATGAAAGTTGAGTTTATATAGTATCGGCTAATTTTCTAAAAATTATGTTCATTTTGTTAAAAATTATATAAAAATATGTTGCCAGGATTTCTAATAAAATTTTTTCAAAAAAAGCAGATGAAAAATCGATGGCTTATTTGGATTTATTATTGTTATTCGATAATCACCGATTTTTTTAATCTGATTTCTTTAAAATTTTTATAAGAAATTCATGCAAAGCATTTTAAGATATTTGAATTTATTATTGCGATTCGGAAACCACCGACTTATCATCTGTTTTCTTAAAAGAATTCATAAGAATTTCTTGAAACACTAAGCTAATATAAACTGAATATAATCCCTGGAAAATTGGCACAGTTTATACTGACTCGGCTCAATTTTTATAAGTTTCATGCCATACTTTATTTTTTACTTTTTCGTGCGATCCTAAAAAAAGTTGCTAAAATTTTGTTTTCAAAATTTTTTAAAATTATCTTATTCTATACTTTTCTATCTCAGGAGCCATCAAGTCTCAGGAAGAAAAAAATGTCACTTTATTTTTTCTCCAGCAAAATGTTGTAATAGCACACATATAAACAAAATAAACACGTAGTATCAGATAACTTCAGAAATGCTACTTCGGTGACGTAGCACCGATCCGTATGTAATTTACGCAGATGACTAGATTTGTGAGAAATAATTAAAAATTAAAGAACGTTCCATTAAATCTCAAACAGAATCGTTAATTATTTATTTATAAATTATTAATTAATAATTATTTATTATTATTAATTAATTATTTATTTAAAAATTTTATTTATAGCAAAGGCTAATGTTGAGTTAATGCGAAAAAATAATTTTCAAGCATTTTTCCTGAATGAGCTAATTGAAATTTAATCGAAAATAAATAAATTAATTAATTAATGCAAACTACATCGTGAAGGCAACATTACTTTAACCTGATTTTTTTGCAGCAAAAAACTTGTTAAACAATTAAAATCCATAAATTTTTTTTCCAAATTAGCATGTTGATGTCATAACGTACTACATCAAGTGTAAAAAAGGCAATTTTTAATTTATGTTTTTTAAATTTTTGAAAATAAAGAAGTAAATATAATAATACGCTAAAAATTACGCTAAAAATAATTCAAAAATCTAAAATAAATGTCTAAGAACAGAAGGTTTTCTTTCTACACTTCATGCTTGTTATTATTATTTAACGAAACTCATTTTAAATACCAATAGATTCAAAAGGTTTTTGGGTAAATCGCCTTGTTTGCCTCGATTCTCTAAAAAATTTATCGAACTCTAACCCGGTAGTTTCAATTTCCGCCCATAAAATCGTTTCAAATGTCTTCCGTTATCATACCGATCCTCAATTCTCTATACTAAATCAAAATCAGTAGCTGTATTGAAAATGTTGATATTGTTCGGGACAAAGGGTGGATAAACTACTTAGTTTAGATTTCAGCTAGATACCAACCCCTATCTCAATAAGTTTGTTCTTTAATTTTATGATGACGAATTAAATGTTAACTTACGTCTATTTTCTTGTCAATAATCTTTACCAGTATCAATTTCATGATCTTAATTTGATAATTTTAAGACTATTTTCAATTTTATGATGATGACAGCTGAAGGTATCTGGATTAGTGAAAATCGTGTACTTTGCTTGTCTAATAAAAATTGTGATCCGAATTTTTTCTCCATATTTTTCAAAAATTGCGTAACCATAGAAACTTTTGGATTAAAATACTTAAGATAAAGGTTTAACATATCTTGCAACTGCAAAAGCTAATAGCATGGTAATAGCTAATCTTTATGTATAAATGCATGAAATCCGCAAATGGTGAAGTACATTTCGCCTTGGAAAATTCGCTGTATTAGTGGAGTTTTAAGAAATAATTAATACAGATAAACCAATAGTCACGCGTGAGATCACAGTTCAAGTTCATGATAAAATTGAATTTCTAATGAAAAATACAGGGTTATTCATAATTCCCTCTACCTGTAAACGCCATTTTTCTTGACTACAACTGGCTTCAGTGGTACATGTTACTGCCATCTACCGACAACTGCTTAAATTAAAACTTAAATACTTTCGGAATGATTTCATATGTTCTTTTTTGCCATATTCGTCTTCGTTTTATTTTTACTATAACGCTTCGAAACCCCGGAGGGAAATATGAATAACCCTGTAGGCATAAGGTAGAGATGATAATCGAATTCTAACCAATTATCAGCAGTGGTTGATTTGACTGGACATGAGCATTGTTAATAATACGTCTAACAGATGGCGATTTGAGCAGTGATGTTAAAGATAATTAATATTCAGACACTGTAACGTCAACATTAACTTTTTTACTGTTATTAAATATATTCTGTTATAAAGCGTTTTGTTATAACTTATGCAACTCACTCATCTTATATGGATTAAGAATTACAAATTCCCGAATAAATGAATGAATGAATAACCATTGACCCGATATTTCACAAGTATGAGTTCTCAACTAAGAACAAGCCCTCAATATTAAAACACGAATTAAACATTAAGTTTTAAATAGAAAACAATAATAATTAATACGCATGTTAATAAAATATATCGGTGTCTGACTATGCATATTGAAGTAATTGTCCAATTGACCACAAGAATTAGCTAGGACGGCTGACATCATTAACAAACTACTAATGTCCATAATAATCTGTGGTAACATGTTGTGATATAATCTTAGATAACAATAGAAGATTACTCAGAAGCGTGTAAATATATTTTTTTCTTATGGTTTTGAAATCGTAGGAGGAGGAAAGTTTCCAAAACTACATTCCTAATTAGCTACATTATTTATCATGTAGCAATCTTAAATGTGGAATATATGAAGGTGCATATTCAGTACACGGAGAATCTCACTTTCTGAAATCAATTTTATAAGCTACAGAAAACGACTTTTTCATTTCGAAGAAAAACAATTTTTACCAAAATGCCTATAGACTGTGTAATTTTAGATAACAACTCCTCATTTTACAAGTGAAAGCCATCTCATTTCCTCTTTTTGCTTATCTCCAAACTGCGTCAACACTCGTCAAAAAAAATAATGAAAATAAAAAAAAAATCGCGAAGATCTCATTCATCATCACCATAGCAACTACAATAAAAATGGTGCGGAATCCTTCTCCATTTAAATAAGAACCCACTCTGAATATAAGAATGCGATGCAGAGAAACGCATTTACACGTATCTTTTGTGTTATACACAAAGGTTAACGAGTGGGAGGGAAAGGGTGTTAAAAGTAGGAATGAAACAGAGGCTCCGCAATGTCTGAATGAATCGCATCCGCTGTATGTATTCTCTCATGAGACGTAGATGACGGAGCATGAAGAGCAATGCAAAGTGACACTTTTTTGTGCGTACCGCTACTGTGTTTATTAGTCATCGTGGGCGAGGGAGTATTTGTGGAGCTTCTGTCTCGGATTTTATTTATTCATTAGGTAATCTAAAACATCTGTGTGGATGATTAAGCATAAGTTTTATTCCGTGTTGTAATTGAAGTTCACAGGAAAAAAAAAGAAAGTCTTTCCGTTTAAATCCATGAGGCTTATAACAATCTCGCAGAGGAATCAAGCAACATGGATTTAAGAAGAAACTTTCAAAAAAATAACAGAATTAATTATTTATATATTTAAAGAAAATTAAATTTCAACATTTTTTGAGAAATGATTGTAATATTTTATCAACATGCCTAAACGGGAAAATTTTTCATATACGATGCCAAAAAAAAAAAAAAAAAANAAAAAAGAAAAAAAAAAAAAAAAAAATAGTTTAAGGTATTATTTTATCTTTTAAAGTGAATACAGAAGAATATAGAAGAAGATACTAAAGAAAATGTTTGCAAACATTTGGGTGCGTGCTTGTTCCGAGAGAGCTTGGGAGTTTGCATTGGTAAAGCCTGTGTCACGTTCAGAGGCGTGCTTAGGGCTTTAGCTGCCCTAGGCCATATTTAATAAAAATCATGTTTTGCTTCACAAAGTATATTTTAAACATTGGGGGTCGGGATAGCCTGGTTGGTAAGGAGTTGGACTCGTGTTCGTGAGAACGGGAGTTCGAACCCAGAAAGCCGAAGAATGCTCGTGTAAACTGGTGCACCGTGCACCGTGTGATTGGTACACGTTAATTCTGGCGGTGTCACAAAGTCCTTTAAGTTCCCACAATGAGTCAATACCACCTGGGGCACTGATCCAGGAGTTCCCTTGTCTTCTAGATTGGGTTCAGAATTACAGGGCTACGGAGTTGAACATCGGTAGTCGTAAACTCAAATTTGGGTCGACTGTTCAATGACGGTTATAAAATTATAAAACAAAATAAAATATTAAACATTGGATTTTTTTATTTTATTTCAATCAAATTTTTAAATTTTTTTTTGTTGCATTTAGCGTACAAAACTCTGACAAAATGTATAAATAATACTTAAATTAATTTAACAATATTATTGCAGCTAAAATCACTAATAATGGAAAGGTTAATATTGTTAATTAATTATTTCAAGCTAATTACTGAATAAACGAAGTCATCAATTATTATTTTTTTCCAGCTAAAAATATTAAAGAACTGCAAAGACAGAGAAAAACTGACTTGTCGAATGAAAGGATCTTGTCGGTTAATTTAAATCAGAATAAAAAAATAAAAAAAACATTTTTAAAAAATAAATAATTCTTGGCAGAATAAGTCTTTATTCTTTATTTACAAGTAGATTTCTTAATTTTATATTTAATAAGTTTTAAAATTAGTTGTGTTGAAATAAATGCGTAGAAATAATGTAAAATTAACGGGGTATAAGTGAAATATATTTATTGGTAATAAGACAGCAAATTATTTTACATTCTACAAAGAGCACATTAAAACATGAAAATGATAGGAAATGAAAAATTATAATTTAAAAGTTATATTCTTATCTACTTTTAAACTTTTGAAATAATAATAGCAAAATATCCATTCATAATTTATTAACTTATTCCTTGATTCTATGAATTAAACATTTTTATCAGTGAGATTTGATATCAATGGTTTATTATCGCAGCTTTATATATAAGTATAATGTATTAGATAACTGAGTACTGCATAAATAATATTTTTTTTTGGATAAATCTATGATTTAAAAAAAAAATCATGGTGATTCGACTCAACGATTTCGTTCAATTAAATATTTTTAAATCATGTCAACCATGCTTTTTATTTTTCTTGACGATTTCTGCAGCAGTTCTTTGGGATTGCTTTTTACATACTCTCTACCAAATCGGCAATAGTTGAAACTTTTTATTACATTTAATTTCTTTGGCACAAAAGTTGTAAGTAAGAAATAGAATTAATGGTGCTTGTCATCGATGTTAACACGCTTTTCAACGTTTGAAAAATGTAAGAACAATAAAAATGATGAGATATTAAAATATTTAAAATAAATCTTAATTTACTCAATAAAATGTACTTTTCTCTTTATTAACTCATGATATTAGAGGTTTAATATCTAAGCAATTCCTAAAATTAAAATAATACAAATAACCAAACGATTACCAAGAACTTCATAAAATCAATTAAAAAGAAAACGATAACTCCTCCATTTAACTACGCTTTTTGTCGTAGCGTGGCGCTAAAAGCGATATGTCTAGGTGTTGCTGTTTTAACGCTCATTAATAAAAAAACGTGTCACCTTTTTATATGCTCTAGCATTTGAGGGAAAACTCTTTATATATTTCTCTGTGGTTCAAAACCATTAATGAAAATAACAAACAGGTATAGTTTATTTATTTTCGAAAACTTTTGGTAAACAAACAAATTTAATTAATTTAAAACGTGTTTTGAATTTAAAGATAAATACTATTTAAGGCAATAAATATTTTAATCAATGATTTCTAGTTTTGGTGGATTTGACATCGGAACGGAAATTGTGTTTAGATCTCGAGCTCAGTAACCATGGAAACAACTGCAGATAGGTCGTTGTCTTGCTGAGAAACAAACATGTTTGAAGCTATTTCTCATTACTGTTTCTAAATTCATTCAATGTGAAAAAAAGTATGAGTTTAAAATTCTAATCTCAAACAATTGAACTACTTAGTGATAGTTAAGCATTATTCGCCTTTAGGAATTCATGTAAGTAATTTTTTTTTTATTTCTTTTTGCACAGAAACATTTTTGTTATCATGTACAAGAATGACTTTGTTTATTATGTACAAGCTAATAGAAGGAGAGTATTTCTTTATTTGATTTTTTTATTAAGGTATTTATTTAATCTACAACATACCTGTGTTTTGAAAAATTTTTGCCTGAAAAAAGTGTTAATAATTCCGATTGATTTTAGTGCGTCTTCATTGTCTTAAAATTTAATATTCAAAGAAATCAATCCATTAGCTTTAACTACTTGGTTTTCTGTATATATTGGTAACTTTTCAAAATTTGTGGAAATACATTTTGTGGGAATACATTTTGTGGAAATACATACATTCAAATTTCAGAATTTGAATAAAATCTCTGAATCTACTACCAAATAGCACTATTTAATAAGAATATGGTAAAATATGTAATGCTATTGAAACAAAGAAATTCCAAAGTAATATATTTCTTTTTTATTTTACTTATTTTAAGAGTTAAAATGTGTTATTTTCCACCTACATTGGATAAAATATTATTAATTAAGAGGAACTTATAATTGTCATTAAAATATTATGATTGTCTTCTTGATACTCGTTTTCACTATTTTATGTTTACTTCAATAAATTTATATTTTATTGAAGTAAACATAAAATTAATTACATAAATAAATATGAATACAAATATGAATATTAATTACACAAATAAATATAAATTTATTGTCAATATAAATTCTGTATGTCAGTAATTAATATCTATCAAACTTTCCTCTTTTTTACAGCAAATTTACGTGATTATTAGGTATTTATCCGTTAACCGGGTGCATATGAATTCAACAATTTTTTTTAAAAAACTTTTTTATTTAATTTAATTTTTATACATTTAAAAAATAAATAAAATTGAAAAAATTAAAAAAAAAAAAAAGTTGGTGGAGGTCTACATTTTTCGGCGACTGATCTTTTGAGTCCAACTAAACGAAAAGAGCCAATTAACTATTATCAAGTATTTTTTTCAAATATTTATTAACACCTTGTATATTTTTTAATTGTAAATTTTTTGTGTGTATAATATCTAGAAAATTCTAGTTAACGAGGTTATAAATATGCACTTAACTTTATGCATATATTTTTCAAAAAAAAGTTTAATAGTGCATGTTTTAAAAAATTGAAGCAAGAAAATCTTGAATAAAATATTTTCAATTAATTCCTAAACACCATTTCAAAGAGCGTATAAATCATGAAATAAATACAAAAAATTTTATTTTCAAAATTTTTTGATTTTTTTTTCATTTATAAAAACTTTATATTAATTCTTTATTTTTCATTAACCAAATTTCTTAGAGTATGTCTGTTTTAACCTAAAGAATATTTTTGAATTAAAACTTTTAATATTCTGATGCAATTTTTTTCTACAATATTTAGAGACATTAAGGAAATTTTCAAAAAATTTAGTCCTTATATTTATTTAATTCAATGGCAATCACATGTGCAAAAATTATTCTAAAACTTTAAGTCGTAAGTTGAATTTAAAAATACAGCACTTATTCTTCATATTATGATATACTACTTTATTAGTTTTTTACAATGTGTTAAAATTTTTTTAACACATCGTATTAAGAGCAGTTTATAGGGTAATTACTGTAACAATTTCAAATTATATTTTTTTATTCTTTCTCATTATATTTTTTTATTCTTTTTTATTCTTTCTGACGCAGTCAGAAGTGAAAACATTTTCAGCAACATTTAAGTCGAAACTTAAATAAGAAAATACAGCGCTTGCGCTTTTTGTATTTATACGCGTATGCATAGCATTATATTTTGCAAACTTTAAAATGCGAACTAAAAACAGTGGTTTTTATGCTGATTAGCAACATTCACAAAGTGTTTACAATTAACTTAGTGAAAGTTAAATTTTTTATTTTTTATTTCATGCTTAATTTTTATTAATTAATTGAATGTTGAGGTGTAAACTATCAGGGCATTTTTTATTTAATATGACGTCATTTTGTTATATAAATAATAAATGCAACGTGCAACGGTAATTACAGTTACGTCTTTTGAAACCGTTATATATGGCAGCAAATTTTTTTTTCAAAAGAAAAAAAAGAAGAAAAACGGAGAATGGATTTCTGTTGCTGTTTTCAAAAATCTCAAATAGGAAGTTGAGCTTTATCGTCAATTTTGTTTCGCGTAATTGAATTGTAAATTAATTGCAATTCAATTCGCGCATTTTCGCGTATTTTAAGCTGAATTCAAAGCATGCAAGATAATATAAAGGTTTATGTTTTTTCTGCATAATATATTATTGCAAGGAACTTACAAATTCCCTTATTTACGATAGTTTACTGATTTGAGAGGAAAAAATGCTTTGAACTGTTGGTAGGGCTCTTATGCATTAATTCTTTCCTCTCTCATTGATATTCATAATTGTGAATCCATTGTTTCTCTCTTGTACTTAATAATCATTGCATTTACTGTCATGCGAAACGTTTAAAATTGAAACAATGAAATAATTTTTCGGTGTATTTGTAATGTACCTATTCCTTATCCATTTTTAATTAGTTTAATTGTTCTAACTCAAGCTATATTTTCATGTATGGTGAAGCTCTTTTTTATTCGTTAATCGTTAGCCTTCCATAAAAGAATAAAATTAAATTCATCGATTCTAAAAAAAGTGCTCCATTAACCTGGTATAGATTTCTGGATGTTTACTTATTGTTCCATTGTTAGAATATTGCTTATCTTTATCTTAAAATTTTGCTGATAGATAAAAATAGTGAGCTAAGCGAAAAATGACTCTACTTCCTGTTTCAGAATAATCCGCAGGAAACTACGTCACAGCGGCTGAAGTATCGTGATATCTCGTCTATAAACGGGAAAAAGCGAAGTGAGAAAACGAGAAGATGAGAGATTGGAAGATGGCGGAGTTGTCCGTCGAGGCTCCGTTAGCAATGACAGAAGATTGGTCAGATTTCAGCGATTTTCAGAGTTCTGATGACATCGAGAACTCAAATAAAAAAGGGAGTTTAAAAAAGGAAACTAAGGAAAATGGATTATCGAACAATTTCAACGAAACATTCTCAGCCTCTTTGGAGGATCTAGTCAACACCTTCGATGATAAAATTACACAATGTTTCTGTAATTATGAAGAAAAAGTGGAAAAATTCGCTCCTGTACAAATAAGAACTCAGGAAGAAATAATGAACGAGTGCCAGTAAGTGTAATCTTGTTAATTATTTATTATCGTTTATTTTTGCTTGCACATTAACCATCATGTCCTATTTTCAAAACATTGATTTTTTTGACGTAAACATGTGTTTATATTTTTTATGATCGATTAAGCAATAGGTATCTTTCTTAAAACAGAGTAAACTACTACTATTCCTGCAAATTATCTTATTTTATTTTTAAATATAGAATATTAGTTCAATGCGTATATGTTGTGTTACTTGAAACACAATGTTTACATTTTAAAAGAATGTTTTAATTTTAAGTGTTAAACATAATTACTATTTGTAAATTTTATTTGATGCTATATTCCAAAAAAACGTTACTCTTTGAAGCTCGCATTTTTTCCTAATTATATTTATAAATTCAATCTTGCTTTTTCCACGTCAAGCCATAAGTGTGGGTGTGTGTTCTTTATATGTATCGATACACTCTGTTTTAATATTTTAAATTATTAGAATCTGATCTTATTAGAAATACTATAGAATATTTTTTTGAAGTGTTATTATATTATAATTCAGAAGGATGAGGCATTAAAATTGCTGAGAAACTTTTTTAATAGTGTATTCCAGTAAAATACTGTGTAATTAATGCTTGTAATTTTAAGTGATCAGTTAGCTAATAGTACAGATAAGTCTGGTTAATAAACATTTTAAGAAAATAATTTTTTTTGCGTGCAGAAATTTCTTTATTATTTCACTTTTTCTTCATTGTTTTTGCATAATAACATAGTATTTAGCAGGCATAATTTACTTTTTATTTAAAATATATTAATATGTTGTGTTAAATGTTTATTTTTTTACCAAGTATTATATGTGTTTAATTCTAAATTGCTTAGATTTAGCTATTAAACTCTAGTTGAAACAGCAAGAGTTGTTAATTTTCTTTGAGAGTATATTTTTAAAAATTAGTCGCTATCTGTGTTGACATTATACCTATGCAATTTTTTTTCAAGCTACCATCAGTTTTTGTTGTTGATTATTTGATATCTATATGCTGCAGACTTACCAGGCAAAATTGAATCTTTTACCTGGCTAAATCTGGGTACTCGACAAAAATTTTATTTGTTACCTGACCAATTTCAGGGTACCCATTAAGATATCATGGATCTATATGGATGTATTATCTGGCCGGGTATTATTCTTTTAAAACCTGAATTTTCTTACCAAAATTAAAAATTGGAGTTGTTTGATTTTTTTTTATAATTACTGCAGTTTGTAGACTACTTCGAAATTTTAGTAGAATCGTAGATTTTATTGCCTAAAATGATTTTTAAGTTAAAAAGTAGTCAAGCAACATGAGAGTTTCTTTTTAAATTAATAATTCTCTAATTTTTACTGCTGTTAATGTTGAATATTTTTAACATTTAATAATTTTAGTTAAGTATACTGGTAAATATTTAGTTCGATAGATGATAAATAATTTTTACTAGTTTTTCACACATGGGTGACATTGATTGACGACTGAAACCACCTTACTCCATGTACAGCGCAGAATAGGGTACAATTGTAGAGTACAAACACAGTATTTTAGTGGCACTGGGCTAGGATAAAAATTAGGGCCTCTTTGTTAGTTGCCAGATATTATGGTCTAATCACCATGAAAAATTATGCCTGTAAACCCTGTTTTAAGGTTGTTCAAAGCTTTACATGTTGCATTACATACTCTCTCTTCTCTTCAGCAAACAAGAATTGCCTTGTCTGGCTTGCCTTTTCCTCGCTGGTCAAGGCAACATGGCAAATGTATTGTAAATAATAAGTTGTGTATGGTGCAGCTATTTGGTGATTTTTTTGAGCTATTTGAGAGTGACGAGTGTGTTTATTTGTCATTCAACAACGACGAGGAGTGTAAGAGAGATGTGTGTAACGATGACTATATAGAATTGAAATAAAGACAATTGTAGAATGCTCTAACATCATGATGAAAGTTTGTGCACTTTATTCCAGACTGTGTTGGGAAGTGTTAGTACTATTCAAAGTTCTTACGTATATTTGCATAATTGTCTTTGTTTTATTTTCTTGTGTTTTAAAATTATCATAATTAGGAAATAAAAAGTTTTTTTGCTTGATTTTGTTTCTTTATAATAAAGCATTTTAACTTTTTTTTAAAAATTAATAATGTAAAATGTTACTTTTAAGGTTTCTTTTTTTTTTCTGAAAAATTAGAGGTGATTTTTGAAGTGAGAGACTGAATTTTGAAAGAGAATTGTTTTTAAGTACAATTTTTTTTAATTACATTATTATTATTTAAAATATTTTTTCTTCAATATATTTTTTACTTTTCTATGTTTTTTTAAAAAAAATATCTTTTAAATTCTCTGTTTTTTTTACTTGAAATGGGTTTGTATTTGCAGTGTTAACCAGATGATTAAAATATATGAATTTGAATGTTGTGTTTCATGTAAAATTTAATTATAATTTATATCGCTTTGTTTAAGATCTTAATGTTTTAGTTACTTTAATTTGATTTTTAATTAAATACTAATTTTATTTATTTCGATGATTGCAATATGATGGTGCTATAAACTTAATTACAACCATGTTAATGTAGATTTTGATTCATCTACAAAAAATAGGTATCTAAATTATGTATTGTAAATAATTTGAATTAAATGCTAAATGTTTAACAAAACATTGGTTTGTTATGATACATTTACAGACTTAGGGGTCCAAATTTGGATGGTCTAATCACCATTGAATCAGTGGCGTAGCGAGGGGGGAGCAAGGGGGGGCATCATGCCCCGGGCGCTACTCACAAAGGGGCGCCAAATGGTCAGCAAAACAAAAAAAATTGTTGGATAATTTTTATTTTTATTATAATTTATTTCTACAAAATATATTTTAAATTTAGTGCCAGTGAAATATAATAAATGTTAATTCGTAAATAAAAAGGAACACTAATCAAACTGTAATACTATATTCATAATAGAAATGACACGTCTTTTTTAATGGCTAGGCTGACTCGACCTGTGTCTGTCAGCACTTCCTTATGGCATCTACGCTGTGTGGTTACGTATATTATCTCCAAATATTTGCAGTGTACAAAGTGTTTGTATGTTTGTGCAGTGTATAATACAGCTTTCAATGGAATATAACTCTTTATCGAAGAATGTGACTGCAAAATGTTACTCCGTAGTAGAAAAGAAATTGAACTTAAAACTCCATTAGAATCTCTTACTTTTATAATCTTGTATGGAGAAGATGTTTTTCCAAACCTGAGAGTGGCACTTCAAATACTCTTGACTATCTCAGTATCAATTGCTAGATGCGAATGGTCATTCAGCAAATTAAAATTAATTTTGACATCTCTACGATCAACGATGGGACAAGATCGCCTAAGTGACGTAGCATTTTTAAGTGTGGAAAGAGAAAAATTTGAAATGATCAACTTTGATGATATTATTGATAAATTTGCTTCATCAAAAGCGGAAAATTTATACATAGTAATTAGTTTTATAATTGTATTATAATCATATTATTAAATATATGTATCTCCTTAGAGATAATAAATATTTACTTTTTTATTGTTTTAAAACTGCGTGTTTTTAAAATATTTCTCTATAAATATGTGAAATAAATAATAGGTATCTTATGAACTAATTCTAGATGATCATATACATTTCAAAATCTAGTCTTGTTTTCTTAACTACATTTTTTGTCTCAAATTTAATGCCTAACTTGAGTCTATGACTTTATTTATTTAACTTTATTTATTTATTACTTTGCAAGTATATTTTACTTATAATATTAGATGATTTTCGAATGTGGGGGGGGGGGCGCTAAAAGGATATTGTGCCCCGGGCGCGAGTTAAGCTCGCTACGGCACTGCATTGAATTGCATATAAACTAAAGATTTAAAAATTTTTTTTTGAATAGTACTAGTGTTAAAAAGTTTTAAAGTCAGTATAAAAAGTATAGAATTATACCTTCCAGTGTCCCACCACCCTCAAAACCATAAATTGTCCATCTTTTAATTTTATTTTTTGCTTTATTGAAATCTGATTCAAAATTTATGTCATAGTTTATTTTAAATAGTAAATAATTGGTACCAAACCCCTTTGTGGACTAGGGGGGTAATGAGGTTAAGATTCCACAATTTCATAACCATAAAACAACATGTTAGCAATGTAAGCAACATTGTGCTTTGACTGACCCTCTTTACTTCCAAAACAGGCTGCAACCCATCATTATATAATTTGTCTATGGTAAGAACTCCCCCCACCACAAAGTCTAAGGCGGTCTACTGCTGTGGAAACAAGAATAGCGCATTTCAGGGAGGTTGGCTTCTCTTTACTCTAGGGCTAACACAATGTACCGAAGAAAAAGATTCCTTTTCTCTCGCCGAACCGAGCCGAAAACCTCTCCTAAACAGCGACCCCACACCCCTACTTGAAATAGTTGTACCTTTTTACCATAGTCACCGCCACGGGTCCAGACAAATGACTAGGGGAGTTCTTACTTTCGACAAACTATATCTGAAGTTGTTTGGGCATCAAGCCACTTCATTTCTTCACTTGACAGCACATTAGCTACTTAAATTCAATTGGACACATTTTTCTTGCTTTTTTTTTCATAAATAATTTTGTCATTTTCTGGATTGTTTATTGTTATATAATTATATAGTCTATCTTATTACAAATGAGAATCCTGATAATAACTAATTTATTTTACCTAAAAGGAAATTTTATTTATTTAAATGAATATAGCTGTAATGATGTAATTTAAAATGTTAGCATTAATTAAAAAAAAGGTACACTACCAGTTATTTTTTTCTCACACGTAATAACTATTTTTATCTATTGCTTTTGTTTGACAGCAAATAGTTCTCAGGATTATCATGACACAATATAGGAGCATCTGTTTAGTTGTTTTTGAATAGCTTCCAGAAAAATGTCCACTCTTATTTTTAACTCATTCATTGTTTGTTTACTTTCCATTCCTGTTTCGGTCGTAACTCATGGAATATTTATGTAAAGAAAAAAAAAGA